CCGGTGGAGGCGCAACCTCAGTTCCCCGCTGCAACTACCCTTTCTCCTTCTACTTTTGTTCCGTCCCGCAGCAGCTAACTCGCATCCGACCACCGCAACCGTCGCTCCCCTGCAACTGTTTCTTTTTCAGGTTGACTCCGGTCGTGGTTGCCGCCAAGAAGGTGCTTGTGGGTGTGTTTTGTAGTGATATTCCGTGTTGTGAAGTGTGCATGTGCATGATTTGGTGTTGGTGTGTGTGTTTTATTGGTTTGGAGTTGTATGGGTGTTTCTCAGCCGGAAAACTCGAAGAAAACCCGTCACCACCACCGTGAGGTGGTAGCTGCCACCTCATGCCGCCGTTTGCCACTACTTTGGGTGGCTGTGTGTATATGTGTGTGTGTTTGGACGAATGTTTGAAATGTTTTTCACTGTTTTGGCCTAAAAATCATAACCACCACCACCACGAGGTGGTGGCTGCCGCCGTGAACCACCGTTAACCATCACCACCTGGGGTGTTAGTGGGTGGTGCCCAACTCATTAAACTCTAATTAACATAATTGGCTAGTATTTGGGTTGGAACCCCTAATTAGGGTTTAGAAAACCCTATTGTCATGAAACCCTAATTTTAGGATTGGTCTGGACCCGCATTGAAATTACTTATTAGACTTAAAATATTAATTAATAATCATTTGCAATTAGCTTAATGCAATATTAGAATTAATGGATTAAGTCCTTAATGGGTTAAGTGTTCTTACTTAACCCTAATCGTTTTTTTATGTGAAAACCCTAATTTCGTTGGGCTTTGAGATTGGGCCTTCCTTTTGGGCTTAGGTGTTTGGGTTTTTGTTAGGCCATCTGAGAACAGGTGTATGGACTAGGATATGTGGATGGGCTTTAGGGTAAGGCCCATGTAAGGGGTTTGGGCCTAATTTGGAAAATTGGGCCATATATTGGGCCTTGATTTATTATTTGGTTTTTGGGCCTCCAGAGTTTGAGTTTGGGCCTCGGTTTTGGACCAAGCTAGGTTAGGGGAAAAATAGTCTCTTTACCCTAAGTATGGAGTTATGGTTATGTATTGGAACCCAATTATTAATTGGGTGTTGTTTTGATGTTGACGGTTCGGGGATCTGTCAGCCATCAGCCATAGTTTTATCCGCGGGACGTCAGCAACGCGAGGTGAGTCTCCTCACTGTTTTTATGGGTCGAAGGCACCAATGTCGGCCCATTTGGTTTATGTATTGTAAGAAGATCTGGGGGTTAGCCCTAGGCATTATGTATGAAAGACTAGGAGGTGGCTCCTGGCACACTGTATGCTAATTAGCTAAGTAGAGTAATATGTATGCTAGTTGTCTTTGTGATGCATGCATGGAAGACCAGGAGGTGGCTCTTGGCACTTGTCTGTAAGACCCAAGGGTGGCCCCCGGCTTGGCAAGAAAGACCACGAGGCGCCCCGTGACATAATGGGAAGACTATGTGCGACACATATCACCTTTATTGATTATGATATATGAATGATATGCATGGCTCACGGTTATGTATGGCATGTATGGATCAGTTGATATGTATGGTATGTGGTATTTGGGGAACTCACTAAGCTTCGTGCTTACGGTTTTCAGTTTTGGTTTCAGGTACTTCTTCTTCAAAAGAAAAGGAGTCGGCATGATCGCAATGCATCACACTATGATTATCCGTATTATGAGATCTTCGGGGATTGTACTCTGATATTGTTTTCCTATGACATGTTGTGGTTTTGACACTTGGGTTTGATTATGATTTGGATGACACTGTTGATGCTTTTAGACTACCGTTTTTATAATTTACTTAATTAAAAATGTATTTTTATGTTCTGAATTTTAGGATGTTACACAACAGAATCGCGAAAAGTTGATCCAACTTGCCGAGTTCACCCATGAACTCGCCGAGTTCACCCATGAACTCGCCGAGTTTCCCCTTTAGCCAACATAATCGGGAAAAATTGATCCAACTCGCCGAGTTCACCCATGAACTCGCCAAGTTCATCAGGAAACACACCTCTTAATCTATTAAGTTACTATTCTCGAAACTAACAGGTCCACCACTTAGATCTTAACTGAAATAACGCCTAGAAGGGTAAAGTTTCCAACTTTACCCTTAGGAACCATCCTAATGGGTTTAGAACCAAAACCCTAAGCTTAAAAGGTTAAGGCTTAATCAATAATCACTTATTCATGAAGAAAAAGCCCCAAAATACAGATCTGGTCCTTAAAGGCTGCAAGGTCACGTAAAGTTTCCAACTTTACTCTCATGCATAGCTAGGAGAAGTTCAAATTATAAAAAGAAGTCATAATAAGGACTCAATGGATGCAAGGAGCTTTTAAGACCATACAGTTGGCACCTTTATGCCAAAAGAGCTCGTTAAGATTATGGATCTGAAAGAATAACCCCTTTGGGATGTCCTACACTCCATCAATCATTGAACTTGGCTAAATCATGCAAACTAGCCCCAAAAAGAGATCTAAATAAATATTAAGCAAGGTTAGGACTTTATACCCGAAATAGGCTGGAAATGGAGCAAAGAATCAAGATCTGAAGGCTCCTACTTGAATCACCACCTTGCACCAAGCTTCTCCTTCTTCCAAAAGCAGGAACTAGGCATTACATTGTATATAGGCGAATAAAATTTTCTTTGTTGGCGGTGGTTGATCACAGGTTTGGTCCCAGGGCTATTGATTATGGGGTTGTGTGCTGCCTGGCCGGAGCTCTCCCCTCTGAGTATTATTGGGAGGCAGAAGAAGTGGCCCATTCGTCTATATGGGGATCAGATTCTGGTAAACTCTTCACTTATGGGTTATTTATTATTTCGAATTGATATATCTATTTAAAAATTAAGGTTTAAAAACTATGATTAACAAATTTTGGGTGCCTATCGAATCAGCTGTCAAAAGTCAACCTGACAACCAACATGTCTGAGCACTTCCTGGTCATCTAATATTACTGGGAATGCTAACATTGTTAAAAAAACTTTTGGATCATCGCTCATTTGACATACAACAAGGTTATAACTTTACTTTCATTTTGGTCAGTATTTTTATGAGCAAATGAGTTGATTTCACAATTGGGTAAAATTTGAAAACAAAAACATTTAGTGAATGGGTTCAATGGTTTACAAGCTAAAACTTACTCTAATGATGTGTTTTGAAATCTAATTAAGACTTGTGTAGTATTAAAGAGGATTGGTGTATTGTGAATTTTCATTTCCGTATTACAATGGTGATGAACTTTATCTTATTTCATTTTGAAAGGTTTATATGTCGTTGACAGGTATGTTATATTATTGATAAAAAAATGGTTTTTATTTCTTGATTTATAGTACTTTTACTTATTAATTCTTTCATTTTTAGGATCACAAGTGCCCTACAACAGGAGTTATCAGAAGCTAATATAATGTGCAAGAGTATGCCAATAAGAGGATTGGTATCATCAAAAAAGAGTAGGATGGAGCTTTATTTGGTGTCATGGAACCAAAATGAAAAATTGTTTCGTCAAAAGTTACATGATGAGAAATGATAATTTTATTTGTGTCAAAACTGAGACAACGGTAGCCTTTGTGATTGGTAGGGTAGCCAAGAAATATGTAGGGGTGGATCGAGGAGAGAGTTTGTGTGGGGCATCGATGTGAGGAAAACATAGGCAACCGAAGACACGAAGATGGTCATAGGAAGGGAATTTTTTTATAAATTCATTTGGGGGCAATATTCTCATTTTACATGTTATTACTTGATGACAAAATTTACCCCAGGCGAAAAGGCCGAAAAAATGCCAGAACTTGAAAAGATGGTTAGCAAGTAGCCTTCGGAGGTCATAAAGATTCGGAAAGAAGAGGAGAAAATGGTAATTTAATGTGTTATTATTCAGCTTGAGATGATAAGGACAATATTTTATATTTAGGTATCAAATACACTAAATAGCAATGTACTTTTCATAATTTCTTTTGATTTTTTTCCAAAAAGTTAACTTCAATGCCCTTAGTTACATTCTCCATTTTTAGGAGTAAAATGTGCTAAATAGCAATGTACTTTGCATTTGTATGTATTTTTTTTTTCAATTTCTTTTAATTTCTTTAACAAAAAACCAACATACATTTACATTCAGTTCATTTTCTATTTTTTGGTTATAAATGCAGTAAATAGCACTATACTTTCAATTTATAGTTTTTTTCCTATTTTTTTAAAATTTGTTTTGATTTTTTTTTTCCAAAAAAGAAACACTAACTACCAATGTACTTTGATTTTACACCTGCTGATTTTTGTTTTCAACAATTTATTTGATTTTTTTACTAAAAACCGAAGCACATTGTTATTTGTTTTATTCCATCAATTGTATGTTTCTTGTTCAATCATGATGCCTATTTTTTTGTAGATCTTGAAGAAGTGAAAGCATCAGAATATTATTCAGATGTTGGATTCGGTTGAAACCACACAAGAGTTATATGTTGTCACTTGAGGGGATTTTCTCGACTAATTTGGAACTTCATCGTTAGTTTTGACTTGGATTACCAACCCCCGCAAAGCTGGGAAATCTTCACTACTAGATCAACCAATTACGAAATGGATTGGACGATTCTTGAAGAAGTGTGATTTCTTTCATGTTATTAGTTTCCGTTCCTTACGGAGGTGGTGTTTTTTTTTCATCTCATCATGGAATTGAATGAAAGTTTGCGATATGACCTATTTTTATTTATGAATATTTGACATCACAGGTCTATTAAATATACCGATTTATTTATTATAGTAATATTAATTAACATAATAAGATGTTACTCGATCTCCTTTCAATACCCTAGCGGAACTTCTCTAGTCTTGGAAAAAGAAGTTTTATATAAAAGTAGTAAAAAGACTTTTCTACCATTAAGGATTCAAGGCCAAGGGTAAGAATTGACCTATTTATTGAACAAACGGTCTATCAATCTTCCAACACATGATCAAAATCAGAATATATACACACGTCACAAACAAATCAACAAAATCATTTTCGTTAACCCCCTAAACTTGAGACCCATCGATACATATCTCGAATGGACTATCAAGATCTGTATCAGGCGTCTTACAAGCTCTATCCTGCATCTCACATGGCGTTTTACTTCTATCAGGCGTCTTACAACCACCGCCACCACCATCTTCTTCTTCTTCTTCTTCCTCCTCTTGTTCTTCTTCTTCTTCTTCTTCGACTTCATCTCCGTCCAAACTAGACACAATATCATCAAGACTCATCGGTAGACTATTTGAAAAACTCAACTTAGGTTTGAATTTGGGGATCACCATCTCATCAACTTCATGGTTCAGTATCTGCAACACCCGCCTCATGGACGGCCTCATTTCACTAACAGGGTTCGCACAGCTCAACCCCACCATCAAAAGCCTCTTACCTTCTTCTTCATCAAACTGCCCAATAAGCCGCTTATCAATGGCTTCCAAGATCTGATTTTTCGTGTACATCTCCCACACCCAATCCACCAAATTCACCATATCATCACCATCACTTTCCTTCTCAATCGGCCTCCGCCCACAGCAAACCTCCAGCACCACCACGCCGTAGCTGTAAACGTCTGTTTTATCAGTAGCTTTTCCATAATGAAGATACTCAGGAGCCAAATAGCCGACAGTTCCAGCTGTAAGAGTCGAAATAGGGCTTTTATCGTGCTCAATCAACCGAGCTAACCCGAAATCGCCTAATCGGGCATTGAAGTTAGCATCCAACATGACATTACTCGATTTTATGTCTCTGTGGATCACCAGTTTATCACATTCTTGATGAAGATAAGCTAAGGCTGAGGCTAACCCGATTGCGATATTGTATCGTTGGTGCCATTTTAAGAAACCCCAGTGGTGGGTGTCTTGATACAACACATTGTCGATGCTTCCGTAAGGCATGAGCTCGTAAACGAGTAACAATTCGCCCTTTTCGATGCAATATCCTTGTAGAGGAACAAGATTTTTGTGTCTTAAGCAAGCGATTACTGATAATTCAGCGAAGAATTCCGTTTTGGCGTCGCAGGAACTTGTAGATCTTTTCACAGCTGCGGTGGTTCCCGACGATAGCATAAACGCTTTGTAAACTGTGCCGAATGAGCCACTTCCGATGATGCGACTTGGATGGAAGTCATTAGTGGCGATCTTGAGCTCTCTGTAACTAAATTGCCTTGGGTTTCGTGTTACCTCTGATTTTATGTTAATCTCTGTTTTAATTTCCCTCCATTTCTTCACCGAAATGTACCCGAAGAGAGCAAGAATCGCGAATACGAAGACCGTGCCGGAAACTTCAAGACCTAATTGGATCAATTTACGATACTGTTTGATGTGAGAATCAACCCGGAACCCAATCAGAGGGCTCGTGAAGATGGTGTTATCTGTAACATTGTGTGGGTTGTTGATTCTTGGATTGAAGTATTCGACCCCATACGATTTGAACTTCCAGTGTTTGATCAAATGGGTCTCTGTGCTTCCTTCGGTTGATGCTGAAAACCCCAAATACATATGTTCTTGAAAATAGCTGGAAAGATCGATATCCATGTTTAAAAGCGGGTTATTGGGTTTGAAACGTGAACGCGTCAAGAACACCTTGAGATTCTTTTGACCGTGATCGTAATCAATCCATGAAGTGAAGGAAATCCCAGTTCTTAAATCGATTCCAGCATCCATGCAATCTGCTGTTTTGATCGAATTCAAGCTATCGATATCTAACCCGACATGGTTATTATTTGGGTCATTGAAGTGTGGGTCAAGCCGGGTGTCGTATTCGATTGCGATGAATTTGTTTTTAGTTAATCGTGACGAATCCACAAGACCCAAGTAGCCGCCGGGGGACCCGAGAGTGCGGTTTTCCGGCGAGATGAAGAAGGTGAGTCCGTCGCCGACTGGGGATAAAGGGTTGAGGTTTACAATGGAGAAGGAGAATCTTGTGGAGAATGAAGCGGAGGAGTTGGTGCGGTTGCTGGAGAAACGGACTGGTGTGGTGTACATGATAGTGCCGGAGGAGGATGCGAGTAAGTTGGACTCGAGAGTGAGTCCGGCGACGCCATGACGGAGGTAGGACTCACCGAGGAGGGTGAAGTTTTGGGGAGGGAAAGATTGGAATTCGATGGTGGTGTTGTGTGAAGACGCCATTGATGGGTCAACTGCGAGATTGAAGGTGAAAATGATCAAGAAAACAAGGTGTTTTCTTGGGTTCATGATGAAGATTATCCAAAGTTCAGACGGGGCTGAGTGGAGACGGTGGCGGTGGCGATGGTGGTCGCGGCGGAGGAATAGGTTTTAAACGGTTAGAAAGAGAGGGTTAGAATGGATGGGTTTGTCAACAGGATTATATTGCAAAGGTTTATATATGATGAAATGATAATGAAATGTAATTGTGTATAGTGCAAAACGGCATCATATTGAGACATTTTGCTCGAAACTAAAATTTGATAGTGTTATTAGTTATTAACAAAATTTCCAAAATATGACGTATTCTATCACAAGGGAGTCACCCATTTCATGAAAATGGTTTTTAGACCCTTTCCAATTCATCTTCATTTTTCCCGGTAAATGAAGTAAAAAATAGAGTAAATAGTGTTTCATATCCAACCCTACTCCATTTTCTATCTTATTTTTTACCCAAAAAATATATTCCTAGAATATTCCATTTTTATAACTTATATATATTGTCAAATATACCCATCTACTAATTAAACTCTATATTTATGATTAATTAATATAAATTAGTATGTAACATGATATTATAAATATTAAATATTGCATTTAAATTATAATTAGTAGATAAAATAAACTAGAAATGTATAAAATAAAAATGAAAGAGACTAAAATTGGCAACCAAACTTCACCTCAATTTTTTGGAGATATGAATAGTATTCCCCCATATATGGGGACTATTCATATCTCCAAAAATGAGATAGGGTTGGAGAAGAATGGATGAAGAAATGAGGGAAAAATAGAGTTTGAGGTGGGTTGGAGATGCCCTTACAAAATCATTATAATTAGCGAAATAATTTTTTCACAAAAAATTATTCTGCTAACAATTTGCAAAATTGTTGAACAGGTTTTCATGATGTCATCGACTATTTAATTTTATGATGTTAGGTCTAGTAAACACCTACAATGTTAACTATTTTCAATCTTGTTTTCTTATTATCACACAATTTTTTTCAATCTTAATTGCTAGTCACAAAATGAAACATTTAAAATATTTTCTTGTAGTGGAGGAACATGAAAGAAAGCTCATAGTGTCTTGAAGTATATTTTTCATGAATCGGTTTTTGGATACATTTTCTAGTAACCCCATTTTGGGTTTGTTAATTTGGTGGTGGTAAAATTACGTTTAGCATATAGCATATCAGGTTGTCTTTCAAATAATATGAACTAAGTAATGTTTGGAGCTACTTGACGAAGATAATGTGAAAACATTAATAGATTTTGTTCATTATATGTTGCCATATATGATAACATAGTTTGTTGTCGAGGATTGTAACAATGGAAATCGATTGGGTACATGAATCAATTAAATAGTTTTTCACTGTTATGATAAGGCTTTATAAAATAGTTACTATGGTCATTACTATTCTTCCATCTCAGCAAATAACAAACCACACCCCATCAAAATCATGTTGGTATTGGCGGACAAAAAGATCCTAATAAGCATATGAAATCCCAACATACGCCTTTCGAACGTTGCCTGACGTGCTCGAAATTACCTGACTTCAGCTTGGGTTGCAGTAAGTTCTCTCTGCAGGACCTCATTATGGTCCAGAGTTCTTCCATAAGCAGCTTGTAGATGGCGAATGCGGACTGTATTGACTCCCGCATCGGCATCAACTTCCATGACTCGGTTGATGGCTGCCCTACCCTGCTCGTCATTTCGAGCAACCTTGCGAACCAGAATAGGCAGGATTCTGTCTGCTGAGCCTACCTCGCTCAAATTGTAGAAGCTTCGGTCTCCGTTGTAGGGTAAGGGTTGACCATGTTCTTGACTCCATCTGCCCCAAGTTCTCCGCCCACAAAGGCGTCGGGCCTTGAAAAGCCGGACGAGGGTTAGGATTTGGGAATGGGGCCACTAGGGGTAAATCATTTACTTCTGGCTCTGAGTCAGAATCCTCCGGGAAGTTTTCTGCGAAGTCATCATTTAAAGGAATTGCATGATTCTCTTCTGGCTCTGCATCGAGCCAACCACCATTTCCTTGGTTGGGGAAGTACGGGTCGCCGGGGAGATGGAATCCAACCATGTTATCTACGCGAGAATAGGAGTAAAAGAAATAGTTAATAGACGTACTATTTAAGATAATTATAGGATGATCCTTACCAGATACTCCAATATTTGCGTAGTTCATACCAATCACATGTAACCAAGATAGAATAGACATTCGAATAAGTGACCCTAACTCTAAGTCCACAACCAAACAAGGAACAAGAAGTAAAGCAAAGATCACAGATTCTAAGTCTATGACACCTTAGTCACATATAACCTTAGCGTATCCACTCAACAACTATTGACATACTAGTAAAGACCTTTTAGTTTGCACATAAGTAATTATAGTAACACAAAATACTCCTATAATATTTTAATTTTATGTTTTGTTCTAAAGTTTTCATTGTAGTAGTGTTGGTAAGTTTTTAGACTTGCTGCAACACCACAACCATTCCTAGGCACATGCTAATCATTTCTCGGAAAGATATAGTTGATCAGGCTATATCACTCCCAGATCTGATTATATGTCCCCAAGCCTAATTATGTTGTCCAACAATCGCAATACTTTTGTTTTGTTCTAGTATGGCACTGATCCTAGTATGAATGCCTGTATGTATACTTTAGTTAAATATTTTATTATTTAAAAGTATAAAGTCTTGGTCAGAGTATTTTAATCCCGATGTGTTTATAGTTGTATATCTTTTATGGGTTGATATACTCAATTCACTATAAACAAAGCTCTGATACCAATCAGTCACACGCCCAAACCAGAACGACAGAAACATTCGGGGGCGGAGGACGTCATGTACAGTATCATAACAATGCATAATAGTAAAACAAGCAACAACATCATCCATTACATTAATAATATAATTTAATACAAGTGTGTTCTGTGTATAGTTTGAAAGATACCAAAATATGAATCAAAATAAAAGACGAGTCTCGAATGTGCTCCGTCTTCTCAAAACCTGGTCTAGTGTACCTGTCTACTGGTGACTTGAGAATACAAGTTATTTTGAAAGAGTAGATCAGCATTAAAGCTGGTGAGTTCATAAGTATTTTAGTGTCAATTGTTTGTATAAGTTTGATGAAAGTGTTTGTAAGTGTTTGATGTAAATGTTTGTATCTCCTAGAAAATCCTATATTTTCTACTTAATGAAATGTAGTCTTCTACTAAGACCCGACTGGTCTGTATGTTTGTTCTTTTGTAAAAGTGAGTGTTTTCCCAAGTATGACTATCATTACCAGAAAATAGTTTACATTACCGTTTATGTGAGAAGATCACAATATGAATGTAATGGGAAAATGACGATGTACAGTAGTATTGTATATAGTAACTATAGATGTACTAACTACCTTAAACCAATTGTTTAATTAAGGTGAAATGTGACGAGATTATAACCATACTTGATTGACTAGTAAAACACGACGATCAAAAACGTTTGAAATTGTATGACATTCGTCACCCGTAGACCTGCAGGTCCCACTGTAGCTAACAACAAGGTGTAGGATGGTCAATCCCGTATACATCTATACACAAATTCATGCTCTCCCTCCAGGAGACCCTGGTTACAAAACATGACACAGCATTACATTTTTGTGCCATGAAGTAGTGGTTCACATTAATGTTATATTTTTCTTGTATTTGTATAGTATGTTCTCTCTATTCTAGTGTATAGTATGTTCTCTATGTTCTAGTGTATAATATGTTCTTTCTGTTTCTCGTTATAGTATGTTCTTTCTGTTTGTCGTTATAGTATGTTTGAACTGACTCATGTATGAACTGACTCTTGTATGTTTCATTGTTCTAGAAATAGTAAGTAGTAATCCTCTAAACTATACCTATTATAGTTTACTAGTACTGTTGTTTGAATGACTGATCATGTTTGTACACCTTTGCTACCCAAAGGTATTGGACTGATGGAAGAACTTTTATATCTATACACATATACATAATATATAACTAAGATTTAAACGACACTCGGACAAACAACCGATACCCTAAGTCCACAACCAAACAAGGAACAGGAAATAAAGCGAGTTATCAGTCCTAAGCCCTTTCAACCTTATTTATATAACTATATCTATATAGACATGATTTTTACATTATATAAGTTTAAAAGAGTTTGATAAGGAGTTTAGCATATAAAAGAGTTTTTACCATTTGAATGGTTATAGATGACTTGATGTCAGTTTATAAAATGTTTTGAAATAGTTTGTTTGATAACACAGTTTTGAAGTATAAGAAATCCACTTGTTTGATAGTTATTAATCACATGTGATTGATACAATAACTATAATGTTTTGTACTTGTATTCCCCCCCCCATAAAAGCATTTAAAATCATTTAAAAGATAAGTTAGGGGTATGAACTCACCTGTAGTGAGTGATTCGAATGAAAGATCGATATAGGATGCTAAGTATGCCAAGTGAAATCCCGAGCACAAACAGATCCTAATAAGCATATAATAACACATATATGTATATAATTAGTGTATATAACAACTAATCATGTATTGGAAACATCCCTAGGAACTAGGAATCACTCACAATGGAGTGTATCAATCACATATGATTGGTTTAAAGGAGTTCACTGCCACACCTTAAGTGTTTACAGCCAAAGGTGTGTTTACGGCCAAAGTACTTAATCGTAAGAAAGGTTTGCAGCCCTAACTTGCATCTATGAAGTGTTTGTGGTCCTAATCTTGGTCTTAAGAAGGTTCACGGCCAACATCATGATCATAAGAAGGGTTTACGGCCAAAGGGAGAGTTTACGGCCGTAAAATCTTGATGTTCATGCTAAAATGGTTGATTCTTGGTTATAATTCAAGAGCTTCTAATGGATAACTAGTATATGGAAAGGATACTTACGTTTTGGAAGCTTGAAGGGGTGTTTACGGCCCAAAGAACTAGTGTGTGTTCTTGGTGTTCTTGATGATTTGAAGATCTAACCCAAAAGAGATGAATTCGCGGATGAAATCATAGGGTTTTAC